TATGCTCAAATGTCAAAGAGTTTGATATGGAACGCATTCGTATCGATTTATCATTGTTAAAAAATGAGTATCCACATTCATTCATATCAAAACGTTTTGATCGATTCTTCGAACTCAACGAGGCTAGATCCGTATTGGAAAAAGTCGATACCCAAGTATACCACGAATTACACCAACGATTACTTCATATGGCAACGCGAAGAGAAAAACAAAACAAAGAGACAATAGAAGACAGAAATGCTTTACCTGAAGTACTACAGAAGAAGAACTGTTGGAATCCAAATGTTTTGCATACAAAATATTACCATGAAAGTGGACCAGGTTAGCCATTCAACATGACTTTCGCGTATGGTGGAAACAGCGTTTCGCTTATGAAGAATCCAGTGTAGAACATGTTCAACGAAAATTTGCTGTCAAAACTAATCGCACATAAGAAGACATGTTTGTGCACAAGAAACCACCACAACAAATGCTCACGTGTAAACCGACGAATGTTCTACAACAAATGGTCGTTACAGACAAGCCAACTATATCGAAAAAAGATAATAACGAATGGACAATGCATCCATTTCACAAAATATGAATGGATCTAGCTGCTCTATCTCGAGATTCACACCAACAAAAATGAACATGAAACAAACATTCTCTTTTCTTATTCCTTTCCTTTTAAACCTCGTTCTCGAAATAAAATAACTAATTTTCTTCTTTTGTAGATTATAATGAAATGCACCTATATCTAAAATAGTTAACCAGAAAATTACACATTAAAAATACACAAGCCAGACCAAACACAAACACTGCTACAATCTTCATACTTCACAATCAGAGGCAAATATGAAACAAACGAAGAAACGCAAACAAAATCATCCTACTACAAATTTATACATTGTTTCGACCAAAACAAAACGAACAATAACAACCTTCAAATGAAATATCATATATGCCATGAGATAGATAACTAAAATAATTTCATTGGCCCAAGCAGGACAGCACACGACGAAATATAAACATAGCGTAACATTCTCCGACACTGAACACCCAAAGGAAGGCACTTACTTGTAGCATATGATTATCTTCCTGCATATTTTAAATACACACCTTTCTGTATAAAGCCAGGTCGCATTGTATGGTATGATGGATGAGGTTTCTCTACACGGACAGACCAACTTTTATAGCAGAGTAGACATTGTTTCTGTAGTAGGACGGGTCATATTCTAAAGCAGAACTACCCGCGTTTTATAACAGGACACATGCCATTTTTGTATTAGAATGGCTCCTGTTTTATAAGAGTACGCACGTCATTCCTGAATTAGGAGGGGCCCATTTTCTATAGCAGGACGGGTTACATTTTAAAATAGGGAGGATGTCATTTCTATATTAGGACGGTTCAGTTTCTTTAGTAAGACGAGTCGGTGTCTCTAGTAGGACGGGCCGCTGTGTTTAGTACGACAGACGACGTCCCGTAACAGGACGGACCAGTTACACTATTGTAGGACGAGCCAGTTACTCTCGTATGACAGAGGACGTCTATTTTTTTATCATTTCTTCAATGCTATCATGTGAGTATAAATAGCCACAGTTTGTAGCGATCAACTCTTTTAATGAACTTCACGTTATCGAGCACATGTCAAACAACTACTTTCTATTATTCGTTCTTCTCTATTTTTTGCTATTTGATGATAATACTATACAGAAGAAGTATCGACTGAATTAAATTATATACTAACTCTATATATGTATATATATATATCTTTCTTCAATATAATTCCTTAAGTTTTAGCTAAGGATTTTTCTCAAACTTTTACCACACAATTTCGAAAAATATTTTCTGCTTTTCTGAGTTCTGTTTGAATAAGTTTTGCTTGATCAAACTGTACTTGGAACAAATCTTAAAAATAAAATTTATTATTTGGGTTAACTCAGATTCCAATATTATTATCTTTTATTCTCTATAAGGCATGGCGTCGATGACTAAGTCGATCAGCTATGAAGAGTGTATGACCACTGTGTATGACGTACCTCTGGCTCATTGAAACAACTTTCGTGTCGTTTCTGCGCTATGCGGTTACATTTCTTCTTACATATTTTCTACCGGGGATTGAGCATTGAGTTCAAAACGATAAGGTCATCGTATGATGATGATAATTTTTTAGAATAAGTTACATATGCGTATGGTCACTGTGCCTGTTCGAAGTGGCTATTCTACCATACAGAGCAGGATCAAAGAATTATTGAAGTAATGTTTCTTTGAGCTTTTCATTGAGATCGAAATTGAAAAAAATGCTTTTAAAATGTTGTGGTATAGAATAATTTAGTATATATTGGTAAACATTACTTTCATACTAGCGTCCATGTGTTTTCTCCGCGTATGATAAGAGTATCTTATGTGTTAACTTTCATGTATACTTTGTCTAAGTGCGTTTTTCAACATGAAATGTACATTTTTGTGGAACTCACGTATATTTTCGAAGAAAATAGTGAGTGTAAGTTTTAAGTTCTAGGTTTTGCGACTCCCCCTCCTCTTACAGACCATAGCAACCATAAAAGAACATTCCATACACATACTCCCCCCCCCCACTCTCCCCCATTACAGACTGCAACAACCGTATTCATCAAATAGTCGATGTTGGAGAAAAATAACTTCAAATTAGAAAACAAAAAAAAAGATTATTATTGAGTACATAGCAATAATTACAAAGGATGTGTTGCAGTTAGGCCATTTTTTTGCCCACGATGTTTTCAATTTTTTTTGACTAGAAATGTGTTGGAGTACTATTAGGAGTCTTTTCCACCACTTAGTTTTGTGCTATTTCAATGTGACCTTTTTTGCCCCTTGTGTCCCCCCCCAGGATTGTCGAAAAAAAAATTGTTTTGAATCCTATTATAATTATATGCATTCGATGCGAGTTTTCACGCTGAATACGAATATGATATTTAAAATTATGATTTTTGAAAAGTGTCTTATTTTTGTCGAGAACAGATGTTTAAAATAAATTGATATTCAAATTTTTCTATCAACTTTAGTGATATTTCGAAGTTTTGAGATCTTAGTACATATTTTTTTGCAATTTTGATATGATATTTCGATACAGCATGAAAAACTGTACCTAAGAGTGTATATGGCATCTTGATACCAAAACAGTTTTGTGTACTGAAGTCTTTGGTAAGAAGTTAGATTAGTAGTTTTTTAAGGGTATTCACCATTATTTCGGATATTTTAGTAACGTATTGACTTTTCTGAAACTAAATTGACTTGAAATGACAGGAAAAAACCATTTTTCTTATATTGAAATGGTTTCAGAGAATAAAATCTAATATTTTCTTTATAGTTCATGTGAAAAAATGTTGATATGATCAAAGTACATGCTGCGATCTATTTGTCAGTAATACGCGCTTTTTATCATCAAAACTTAGTCTTTTTCGGTTTCAAATATCATATTCGTATTCAGCGTAAAAAATCGCATCGATTGCATATAATTATAATAGGATTCAAAAAAATTGTTTTTTCGACAGTCCTGGGGGGGACCACAGGGGGGAAAAAAGGTCATATTGAAATAGCACAAAAGTAAGTGGTGGAAAAGACTCCTAATAGTACTCCAACACATTTCTAGTAAAAAAAAAATGAAAACATCGTGGGCAAAAAAATGGCCTAACTGCAACACATCCTTTCTCAAGGAAAACAACTATAGTTGATGAGAATTCTTTCTGTATACAGATGATGCGTCAGGTAACAAAGCTAAAGGTATACGTGAGTTCCACATTTCAGCTCTGCAGGAGCTACGCTCACAAGCTTTTCCTTGTGCTCAAGCATAAGACATCTTTACCTGTATATACACGTGTGTTTTTCAGTGTTTATGCACTACTTTGTGTCACTTGAAAGAATAAAGGTAATTTGGTTACAAAGATGTCAGAGTCATATAGAATAGAGCTATGACATAAGAGGCAAATATGATAAGATAATAGGCATGCGAAGGGACCAATTGATAAAGCGATAGGAATATAAGGGAATATTATGATAAAGATAGGGGGATATACGAGGGTACCAACAAATTGTGATAGGAATCTAATCGCACAGCCTATAAGAGTAATTTGAATAGATTATAATGAAATATCGATATAACAAGATAAGAAATGAGAAGAAAATACTTAAAAGCCTCGGAAAACATGCCAACATATCCATAAGCAATGCATTATAAAAGTATCACGTTCAAAAAGAGAAGCCTTAAAGAATCTGAAACGATAAGCTATATCTGCATGAAATGCGGACTCTTCCATCGTCCAATCCAAAACAAGAGTATAGACATGAGGTTTTATTTACAAAAACCATTAAATTCTACGATTTTGTTCAAAAATTCTTGAATTATTGGCCGCGACATCTTCTAGTTCGTATCAACAGTATTTTCGTCTTGAAAATTTATTTGATTTGATATAGATGTGATCTTAGTTCAAAAATTTGTGTGGCTTTTTGTTTAGAGTTTTTGATTTTCTCGCAAACTCTTATAGAACTACCTCTATTTTGAACTACAATCGATATGCAGTAGAATTCAGATACTAAGCTTACCTGACAAGTCCCTTAAGCAAGAACGCAATCGGCCGTAGGTTTCGCTTATGTATCTAAATAAAATATTGAGCTTCTATGTACACCGACACCCACACCCTCCAAAAATATCCTGATGATGACCATTAAACAAGGTCGAAAGATAGTCGTAAGTAGCTTGGAATTGTCTTATAAACACACCCTACCCACACCCTTATATAGAGCGCAATAATTATGTGGGACGCAATAATAATAATTACTATAGAGAAGGCAATCCATTTTATAATCGAAATTATCGAAATAGAAATTATCGGATACCACGACCAAATTCCAATCCATATCATAGAGTGGATATGGCTTCGTAAGTCCAGAACAAGAACGACAGGGAAGATCACCTAGTCGACGTCGATTAAGTAATCGGCTAAGAAGACAAGGCCCACGACAAATTCGTTTAAAGGATTTTATGCCAACTGAATTACGTGAACCTTCGCCAAATCTTCCACCTGATTTTAATATAGCTACAGCTACAGCACTGGCAATAAAAAGTACAAATATTCTATCAGATGCATTACCACAGTGTGAAAGATTTCTTCAAAATAATACTACTCAACCTTTCACAGTTACTGGAAATAATCAAAATAAACAACAGCGACAGCAACAAATCAAAGACAACGTAAAACCACGTCTTCATTTAGACGTCGAGAACGTTGTAATAATCGATTTGCTATGTTAGCTGATGAAAATGATAATAATTTATCTGATGTGGACGCCGAAGTTAAAGATGAATAATTGCCATTAAATATGAATAGAAATTCAAAAAAAGTTAGGATTTATAAAAAGACTCGTCCATATCTTGAATCAACTCGTATATTAAAATGGTTAGAAGATCATTCGAGAACTTCAAACAATGCTATAAGTAGTCGTGGTAATCAAGCATATGTATTAGCGTCAGCCTCAAGTTACGATAACTGGGTTCGTAATAATTATGAATCACAAGTTTGGCAAACTTACCTTAAAATGGGTACAGAACAAAAACATTGGGCTAAAGAAGTTATTCGACGTACAAAACGACGTGATGATTTAGTTAATACTCGATTTGTACAAAAGAAAATTAATCGTTTAACAACTAATATCGCTAGAGTATATGCTACTATTTCTGAACTTCAAATTCAATTATCAACTTATTGGATGCATACAAGTTCTGAAACTACAAATCAAAGATTAGCTCAAACAACAGCTAATATAGTAGCTAAAAAGTTATTAGTAGAAAAAGCACGTTCAACAGTAGCTCCAGGACATGTAGGAACAGATAGAGAAGATGAATTAACTACAGGAACTACTGAACTAATTCCACCTGCTGCTCTGACTACTGCTGCTACGAAAAATTATGCTCGTGAACCAGTTGAACGTATTTAAAAGTATATATTAGAATATATTCATTTTTGTACACAACATGTGAAAAAACTAGCTCAATCTCGAATACAATTAGCTAAAGTCCAAATGGATGAATTTAAAGCATTAGAAGATTTTGAACAAATAACTAGTCCAGCCCAATGCAATATTCATTTGTTATTAAAACTGAAAATTAAAAATTGGTCTACAAAAAACAAAAATTATCAAATTTTGGCAAAACGTGTTGAATTAGATTTGCCCCCAAAACTGATTGAAAAAGTTGATTTTTCTTTCAAAATTGATGAATCAATTATTAGTCAAGATGAAGCTCAAGCCACATATAATCAAATGCATCAAATTACCAAAGATTTTCGTACTCAAGCTATGACACTATGTGTTCAGTCAGCTGCTCGAGAAAATGAAGTCTTATCAGATGAAATTAAAGGTATTGTTGAAAGATTTCCTCAAGATAATGATGATGGATTTGATGCTGAACCTGGCTATGCAGCTTTTAAACAATATCATGAATTTCGAGAAAAAAGAATAAGAATAGAAATTGAACAATCGCTTCATTTTTTATTCGAACAGCAAGTCGAGGGCGATACCAACAATCTCCAAATTCAAGAAGAAACAATCGCCCCGACTGTAATACGTTCGTTGGGCGAGGATTTCTTGCTCCAGCAATAATTAATGAAGCTAATATTCAATTAAATGAAGAAGAACATCAGCTATTAAAATTAGGTCCAAAATTTATATTCAATGACCCAAAAACAGCAGCTCGAAGACGTGCAACTGAAATTTATGGCTGAATTAGATATTCTTCTTCAAACATTACATGATGTTACAATATCAGATAAAAATCTTAATAACAATAGAATAATTGAGAGTCGAATAAATGATATTATTGAATCCGTAAATAGTCAAGCAAGTCAATCACAATCTCAAAAAATTACTGGCACTAAAATTAAGAAAAAGAAAAATTATGGTCGACTTGTGAAAAGACTGAAGCATAGATTCAAATTGGCTAATGTTATTTTACGTAAATCTGATAAATCTAAAGTATTTCATTTAGGTAAAATTGAAGATTATCGTAAGAAATCTGAAGAGTATATGGTTAAAACTGAAGCATATAAATGCTTAGGTATAAACGATCCATTACCAGATTTAATTACAAAAACCAATAAATATTTATTAGATTTAAGATTAGCCAAATGGATTAGTCAAAAACAATATGAAAAACTATGCATTAATCCATGTGAAGTCGAACTGGCTCATTTATATTATTTACCAAAAGCCCATAAGCCAGGTACTCCTCTTCGTCCAATAGTTTCTGGTCTGAAGCATCCTACAATCAAAATATCCAAAGTTCTTGATGAATTATTAAGACCATTATTTGATAAAATGGCTTCAAAAACAACTGTAAATTCTGGTTTTGAATTAATGAAACAGTTGCAAGAATGGTGTAAAATAAATATGCGTCAAGAAACATTATTCTGTACAATTGATGTAGCAGATCTTTATACAATGGTGCCACAAACCGAAGGAGTACTATCATTAAAAAAGATGTTAGATCATTTAAAATTAAAACGTATTAATGGATTAAAAATTGAAACAATTATTAGATTAAGTCGATTTGTGATGCAAAATAATTATTTTTCTCATGATGGCCAATATTATCAACAAATTCGAGGAGGGGCTATGGGTTCCCCCCTTACATTAACAGTCGCCAATTGTTACATGTTCTTTTATGAACAGCAAATTATAAAGCAAATACATAACAGTGGCGGACTTTATTTTAGATATATTGACGATATTTTTATTGTAATTAATTGGCCTGCTCGACATTTATTTAAGCAAATCGACAGATGGAGTTATTTTGATGAAAACATTAAATTATCTGAAAATATAGGTATAACGGCCGATTTTCTAGACTTACATATAGAAAATCGAGATGGTAAATTACTTACAACTGTTTATCAAAAGCCATCTTATGAGCCGTATTACCTACCATTTAATAGTATTCATCCATTACATATGAAGAAGAATATAATCTTTACTTTGCTACTTCGAGCTCTAAGATATTGCTCAACATTTCAAGAATATTTAAATGAGCGTGAAAGGCTACGAGTGGCATTACTACTAAATAAATATCCAAATAAATTTATTGATGAACAATTTATTTATATTTTAGAAAAATTAAATATTGAACATTTGTTAACATTTAATAATTATGCTCAACATCGTCAAAAAATTATAGATTCCCCAATAAAAGAAAAAGTACCTATAGATTATGGAAAGACAGTGTTCGTACATTTTACATATTGTTCAAATATGAGGGCATTTCCAGCTAAATTCCATGATTTATGGAATAAATACTTTGGTGAATCTCCGATTAATGATATTATACCTACTCTTGGTACTCGGAACGTTAATAATTTTCAACGACGATTAGTACATACAAGATTAGTGAATATATAAATATTAGTGAATATATAAATATTAGATTATTTAATTTGCTATGATTTGTAGCATAATCTTAATAAAACAAGCATCTTTTTAATTTTCTTAATATTTTTCAACATGTAATTATTAGTATTTGAAAAATTAAAATTCATAGTTAATATGATGTTTATGATCGTATATAAATTATTATTTATGGGTTAACATTAAATAATGAAATCAAGTTAAAAATTTGAAAAGATAAAAATCAGTCGACAGAAATGTCATGAGGCAGATTGTAAAGCTTGCAAAACTTTTCAATATAATAAGAATTCATCAAATAATTTATGTATTAAATTACGAAGATACTTTAAAAGTTTAATTGAAGATTGACTTACATCAATGTTATAATCTAGACTGCCAATACGGCAAATATAATACTTATTGGTGAAATTAATACTGTATTTCGTTTAAATTAATTCAAATCCAAGTATACAGTAATTATATATCAATATTACCACATAAACGAAATGATGATATTAATTATAATGAAGGAACGATATGATGTAATAAGCGTATTTCTGGTCAGCAACAACGGGTTGGCCAGTTAAAATGCCATTACTGAACACATCATTTTGGATATGTGTCCAAATATTTGAATGTCTTAACATCTTAGAAATTTATATTTGAATTTTTATTCTGTGTATTGTACTATAAAATTTTAGAATTGTTTTCTGTGTTATTGCATAGTCCTCTTAAATTATTATATCGTTGTTTTCTTAGATTATTATATCGTTGTTTTCTTTAAAATGTAGTTTATTATCATAAATACGATTCCTCTATGGAGAATATTCCTTTTATATAGAATATTCCTTTTTTATATAGAAATGTGTTTTGTGTGCTTTTTATTGTAATGCAGAGCCCTGATGAGTGTTTTATTATTTGAATAAATAACACGAAACGCGTCGGCGAAATTAAACTCTGCATTTCTATTTAATTAATTCGAATTCAAGCACATCCATCAAATCTTTTTTATAGTCGACATAATAGTCGTTTGCTGAAAAGCGAGAGTTGAGACTAGCAGATTAATTTGTATCGCAGGGATATAGATTGATCTGTTTCTATTTAATTTGTATCGCAGGGATATAGATTGATCTGTTTCTATTTGATTTACCTATGTAGCATTTTATTCAAAATTTGCCTGACGAGTCCCTTAAGCAAGGACGAAACCGGTCGCATATAGCTTTGAATNAGGAGAGAATAAATAGAAAATAGAGTGACTGGAAAGTTACTATCGATCATGAGGTCACAATGCATAGCTGCATGTTGACCGATAGAAGATGAACAATGGTCGTGCCCTTATTATCAGCACAGTAAGGTTTAAAAACGGATCAAGTTGTCACTAATTTGGCACATATGTTCATTAAAACTTTCAAGATGTTTAGAACTTGTATTGCTCACCACTTTTATAATACATACTTTTTATTTAGATTATATTTTGGAAGAGATATGAACTATGTAAATTCTATTCATAAATTTCAAGTTGTTTTGCAATACATGGCAGGTCCATGTTCATCAAAACATCTTGATAATCTTTGATTATTTTTTTGGATAGTGAAAGCAATAGCAGATTCCGATGTATCGTGAAAAACTGCATCATATTTCTTACCAATTCTTAAAGTTTTTATACACTTGATTACTGCACTTTGCAATTCATTAGAGAGGAAAATGTCGACCAAGAAAGTCAATGAGAAAATTGGAACTAATCGAGATGTTGGTATCATCAGCTCGAAAGTATGAGGTGTGGGTGTGAGTATGGGTGGGTGTTGCGGCTGCATGTGAAGACTTGTGTGTTTGGGTATTGGTCTTCTTTCCAAACTTGTTAATCCATGCCCGAACTAACGTACCAACAATCACACCCAGTTCTCTAAAAGGATCGAAGAGTTTGCAACAGTCCACAGCACCTCGTGGACCTGTCGACGAAAAAAATACAAATTCCCAGTAAAATACTTATGTTTTCATATTTCTTCAGCTCAGAAAAACAACACGTAAACAATCTAAGTACATTCTTGAAGAAGAAAAAGTATGTATGTAGTGACCAATTAATAAGGGTGTGGGTGTATATGTAGGGTGTGCAATTTGTTATGGTTGTCGGCGTGTGCAGGTATGCATGGGCGTCTTCACATGAGGCAAGTAGGGTTGTTGGTATTCGTATTGATCTTAGTATATCAGATGTTGGTGAATATAATAGACTATATGTACACCCGCACTCAAAATGAAACTGAAAGAATTTTATTTTTAAGAATTTAAAATGAAGTTTCAAATAAAAGTTGAAGGATATTTCGCAATAAATCAGCACAAATATTTCTCCTTGACACTGAAATAGTATTTTTTTTTCAAAAAATATTTTAGATGAATCGTTTTTTTAAGTGGTCTATCAAAAGTTTATTTATGATAAAGAAGATTTAAATGAAATGCTAAAATCATTGAAACATATTTTAACCAAAATTTTATCCGTTTATTTATTTGTATAGGAGCAAAGAAAAATAAATAATCATTCCATCTTGTGTGAAACACGCATATATTTTAGAAGAAAATAGTAAATGTAAGTTTAAAGTCAAATTTTTGTGGCTCTTCTCTCCCATTACATATCTTCATCTTCCAATTACAGGCCTATGCAGCTACGGACAGCAGGCGTTAGACTTCGACTGCTTTAGAGATTTCGAAAGTCTTCCTCGAAATTTGAATCGCTAGAATACTTTTGCTAATGATTTCAATAGTGCAGTTTTCAATATTTGTCTAGACAAAAATTATGTTCAAGATGTCAACGGTGATGAATAATGATGTATTGATTTGCCACAGTCGTAATATGAACATCATAAATAGAATGAATTAAGCAAATTGTTGGTTTGAAAAAAAAACTCAATCTCAGTGCTTGTCAGTTGATCGAATATATCATAGTTTGTTGACACTTGCTGTAGACATAATCTATATGAATAACAGGCTTATTTACCAAATTAATCAGTGGTTAGAATGATAATATAGTTAAATCTAAGAAAACAGGGATACAAACAAATACGAAAAATATGAGCGAATAGCAACAATGTAAACAAATATAGAGCACAAGTATAGAACAGGACAATTCTGTTCGAAATGCAGAAATGAATGAGACAGATTGTTTTTCTGTCGATCGAGTTATCTTGGAAAACAAGCGCTTTGCGCGACAGATTTTTCACTTCATATATTTCGTAGTAATATAATCCGGCTAAAGAAACCATATTAGTTCCAGATTTCTGCCTCAAACACACTGCTCTAACAAGAAAGATTCGATAACATGTTTCACTTTTTTCAGTATCAAAATCGATTTTTTTTTGAACATATATTCAAGAGTATCATAAAAGGTGCCCACTTTCTCACCATGCATTCACAGAACAATGTCCATGTCGAAATTTATAGTGTAAAACACGATTGGATATGAGTCTTGAAGTATGTAGCAAGAAATTTGGATCCTCCACAGACTACGACAGACATGTCAGTGTACTCCTTGATCTTGTTATATATCGTGAAAGACAAGCTGATGTTTTATTATCGTTTTTTGGACCATATAGTTCTGGAGTTTTTGACCTTCAGACCTCGAACTCTTAGATTTTTATTTCGATTCGATTTGAAATCTTGAGAAATATTTAATTTTTTTTCTCGTAATGGAATTTAGTAGCTTCTGTTACAGACTGTTGCCGATACTTAGAGATGATCTTCCCTTGACCTGGTGACGAGGAGTGGTATATTTACTTTACTTTTTCAAAAAGTAAATAAAGTAAAGTAAATAAACCATTTACTATTGTGAAACACGATCTGAAAAGAGTGTTGAAGTATATAGGATAGAAATTTGGACCCACCCTCTCCTTCCCACAGACTGTGACACACACTTTAATTGATTAGTTATCCATCACAGACCGTGAGAGAGGGCCGCCAAGGACTATCAAATGTGATGTATAAACTAACATCTAATTGAAATAAAGCTGAGGTATTTCCTTGTTGAAGTGCTGTGCTGCAAAGTAAACAATGATGAAGAAATATACCCAAATATACATGAAAAGACCATTTTTTAGTAGATTAGAAACAGCCAGTATATTGTGTTTCACACTTTAATCTGGAAGAGATTTTTATTATTCAGATGTATGTTCGAATAAAAAAAATGCATATTACAACTCAGTTTTTGTTATCATGTAATGTCAGTGTCATAGTCAATCGAATGTGAAAATACAGGCTTGTTTATATGACCAGCGTGGATTTATCTAAGTGTAATTATTTCTGTTTGCTAGCACTTCTTCCATTCTTTCACTTCAGATGCTTTTGTAAACGGCCAACAAAAGTATGACAGCAACAAAACCACAGATCAATGTGCCAGAGATGACCAACATAGAGGACCAAATAAGATAATCTAATGGCTTTTTTGATTTTCGCAATTTCAGTACCATGGTTTGTTCTGCTGAATTGTTCGGTGATAAAGAGAGATCGACATATCTTCTGACAGGAATGTCGGATCGTAATGCTGAATCATTTTCGTACGTCGTATAGCGACTGTCTTTTAGCTCTTCGTGAGTTGAAGCCATTTTTTTTGAATAATATCACGCAGTTATGTGTTTGGAGAAAAGAAAAAGAACCGAACATGTGCAAATATGATCATGGTCAGTCACGCATATAAACAACTACAACACACAAGTGTGCATTCGATGCGGCAATGAATCACAGAAAGTAGGCATATCGTCAAAAAGGCCCTTTTTATTTTTTTATCACATGTTTCTCACCACTTACGATAGAGAGAAAAAATTGATTCGCTCAATGCGGATATCACATATGCGTATGACAAACAAGAGTGTGAGTGTGGGCAAAAAGAATAATCATACCGATAACCACATCCAAGTAGTTTGAGGATATTTGGTATAGTGCAAGTTGATCAATACTCTCTACTACCTGAATTTTATTTCATTTCATGTTTCGAAACTCATAGAAATCAAATCAAATTGTGTGAATCTTGCGAGTTTTAAAATAATGCTTATTGACAAACATTGAAGTAGCTGATGATATATGAAAAATTTCCAAAAAGCAAACCTGCAAATAAGTTCTCTTCTAATATAGATTGCTTAAATGAAATCAATATTGCCAGCAATTAATATACATAATGCATTTTGTTTGAGAACTTTGTTATATTTTTATTCATTCCGGGTTGATTTTTTTAAATTCACAACTATTATATTGAATACTTACGTTAACAAACATCATAAATAAATAGAAATCTTATGCGCCTCTCGATTACATAAAAACAAAAATGTTACTGGAAATCAAATGCGACCTCATTGTCATCTAACATTTTGTTGTAACATGGCGAATTCAGTCCCATGCAATGATTGTGAACTATTTGAATAAAAAAAAAATAGAAATTTTTCATTTAATTTGATTAGTTTTATACAAATTACACTTCACAGGTGAATGAATCCGACACCGGAACCTATTGGATCTGGTCTGATCCGATCATCCGATAAAATTCGATGGGATTCCGGGAAACGAATCTACTAATGGAACTGACGGATAATACCACAATTATATTAATTTTGTACTAACTAAAACAACTGGTAGCAATAGTAGGATGTGGGTGTGAGTGTGAGTATGTGATGGAAAAAATACCCACACCCACACCCGCAGTCAGACTGTTTTGTAATTGACGGTTCGGAATCAATTATTAAAAAGATAAGTGTTTTGTTTTGAACGAGAGGAAAAGTTCAAAATTTTATCTGTCTATCTATATGTATGTATGTTTAGATAAAAGCGAAAGGTCTAGATAAGCATGTGACAAACTACTATCTTACTTGTGCTTAATATTTCAAAAAATTCACCTGCTCTTTTTTGTAGGAAAAACAAGAATTGGGAAAGGAATAGAGGCATATCTTTGACTCATATATATTGTTCATTCGTTAAAACTAAGTTTACAGTGCTTATGAATGAAGATGTTAATACTATCAATAATTATTTTGTATCTATCAATAATCTTTGTCTAAGGTAGGGCAAACAAAAAAGAAAATTTAAAAAATAGCTTATGTCTTCTACGCTGGTGACCGATATCAAAGGCTTCGACTTCATGATGTTCAAACATTAACATTTTATAAAAAGAAGCAAACCATTGCGAGAGAAGAATCGTCTTTTCCACAATTGAACTGTGTTGGCGGTTCTGCAAACTGTGCCTATAAACCTGCTATTGTACGATGTTATCAACATAGTTCCGACGGTCTCTACAGAGAGGTAAGATTATAACGAGAGATGTTCATGGATTGCCGTCAATGCACACGATCCAATCGATCAAGCGAATGATTTTTTGTGTGCATTCAGTGTATGGATGTCTGCAAAGGCAACTACATACTGATATGTTGGCATTGATGAGGACTTGTTTCGAACGTTTGTCAAGACAGATATCTTCACATATCACATATTCATGAGGAAAACCAATAAAAAATAAATTGTAAAAGCTCTAGTCAGTTTCGATTTCATATATCATTCGAATCCTTTTCTAAATGATGCTAGAACATACAAGACAAGGAGATAAACAAAATGCATCATATCAGTATGATCAGGCATTGAACAAATCAATTTTAATGTAGCGAACATAAATTAGTATCGATTTTTCCGACATGTTCAAAATATCAGTTCTATTATGATCCATCTTCTATTGGAATGCTGAATAAAACAATAGAACCAGTCGATAGAGCACGAGTGTGTTAAATTTCACAAAGAACAATTTTCGCCAATTAAAAACATTTCTCTAGTATGTTTTTGATGCAATATTGTTTTTGAGGTTGATATTTAATTTTCTTTAGTCGTCTTTTAAAAAGATGTCAACCACTTTCTCCTTAGTTTTTTTCCAGTGATAAATTAATGAACTCGGTCGAATCTAAATTGCATCGAAAAGATATACTAGTCCTAATCAAATGATGCTGAAGTGACGTATTTTGTTTGCTTTGTTATCCTCTATTTTTTAGTTATGATTCATTAAAACGATGATGTCTAGAACTTTAACTAAACATTCTTTGCTATATTATTACATCAAAATACAATAATTGTAAAAACTGACACAGTGTACGGAAAACCATTTAAATCAAGTGCTTCAGGTATGTTCGATGAAACTCATGATTATTGTTTTACCGAATTTCAATCATAAACAATGACTTGAACTTTGGATTTGAATGTTTTAGTGGAAACGTAGAAGTATAATGCCACGTGAATATGAATTTGGAAAAACAAGTGTATTGTGCGAAGAATGTGTGAGTGTTGGTATGAAGTTATCTTCATCGACACTCGTACCCACACCGACTGACACCCACACCCACATCCACACCGACTCACATCCACATTCACACCCACCCACACCGACTCACATCCATACCCACACCCATATCCATATCCACATCAATCCACACCCATATCCACATCCACCCACACCGACCCACACCTCACATCCCAACATCAATTTTCTTATTTAATGCCGTTGTTGTTCTTTCAATTGTGCAATCCAGGACACAATCAGACTTTGTTCGATACAGGAACATTTTTCTATAGAACTATAGCTACAAGGAATGGGTGAATATTCGTGGGCGAGAGTAATGCTATTCTCTTCACCATCATCTACTCACCCACCTACCCACTCACCCACACCCACCACAGCTCACACCCACACCCTATTATCGAATTAGTTCAATGCTTCTTCATATCCAGCATACATTTGGATATCGTACGTGGTAAAATATTTTATACAATCGATTTTCATGCTTTTTGTTGGTCCATAACTAGAGGAATGATTTCTTTACGAATAAAAACATCATTACACTCGTAGAAATAATCACCATTCTTTTGATGGAGAAGATTAAGAGCCCGTTTGACTTTAGCAGCTATATGTTCATCAGTAAACACAAAATAGGTGTGGCCAATGATGGTATCAATGACACTTAAAAAGATGGCATCTGCACCACGAGCACAGCGAATACTGTCAAGCGCTTTGAGTACTGCTGATTTGTTCTTGACAAGAAATGCATAAGCATCGACAAGTTCGAGTTGTCCTATATAACAGTTAACATTATAACTTCAAAACGAATTTCGCTTGTTTTTCCTAATTTCGCTTGTTTTTTTTTGCCACAAACATACTGTAAGACTCACTTGATACACACAGTAGGGTTCTGCTCAAATTCATTTTTTGAAATGCATCAGATCCTCCTCCAGAGAGAAAGTTTTCAGTCATTGATTTCTAGGATTTGGCTAATATCTGGGACCTGCTGAACACAAACAGTAGAAAGATGACACAGCAATGGCTCTAGTCATTCGCTGTGAAAAAGGACCACCCTGTTTTCCAATCGCAGATCGTGCAGAATTCTATCTCAAACCATAGAGTGAAATCTCTTTCATAAACTGAACATCTCAATATATCTGTGACAATCTGAGATACGTACAGATTTCAAAAACAAAAATAAATTATGGAAATTTTTCTAGTTCTCAAATTAATTCTACCAATATCACGATGCGTAGCGAGAACTTTTAAACATTTCAAATTTTTGGAACCGATGTAAAAGAAATGACAAAAAATCTGATTTGAATCGATTTTTTTTATTAATAATCGATTAAAATGGCGCGATTTGAATCCTACTTTCTGATTTTTACTAAATTTTAGTCGATTAACATAAGGCTTAATCGATTATAATTGCGATGACTATAAAATACGTTTTTCTCCAGTTTTCAGTTAGAAACTCCTATGTTTGATTATTTTTTCTGGCTCCTCCCGTCAACAAATCGTAAGTATAGTACTAGCTCTATCTTTGATACACTTCCACATACGACACCGATTCACATTCAGTCGCGTAAGTTGAAACGCTGATATCTAAGATTAAAATCGATTAAAATCAGATTTTTTGTCGTTCTTTTTACATGGGAAATTACACAGAACATTTTTTGCAATTGAAAAGTAGAAAACATTTCTTGAAATAAGATAATGAAATTTCTGAAGCTTTCAAAATTTCCGTTTCTGAAGATCTGAATAGTGCTGGATGATTGTCTAAAACTGTTCGAAACTTTCCATTCGCTTTCCTGAAATGTATTCTTATAGAACCCGAACTTTTTTTGACATGTAACTGGCTCTACGAAAACTTTCGAATATATATACAGCTCACGAGGGAATATTCCCAAGTGATACACTCTGTTTGTCTTCATATTAAGCCCACAGATAGGACTCATAGTGAAAATAAAAGTCCTAAAATGGTTCGTGCCATTGCACCTTTCTTTTCGAATTATGACCATTTTATTGAATTTTCAGCCTATCATAGGGTATTATGAAAAAATCTCACCAAGGAGTTTCTGCTCGAAAATTTTCCCAATAATAGATCTCAAAGTTCTTACAATATCTTGAAAGTTTCAGCTCAAACCAATGGTTTATTCCGAAATAATACATCTGCAAAAGCCACTACTTTTTTACAAAAGCTCTGAAAATGGTTCATATTTGAGATACACCATATCTTAAGAAAAACTGATTCGTTTGAGCTGAAACTTTAGGGCTATAATACCGACCATAAAATCTATTGTTGGGAAAATTTTCAAGCGGAAATTCCTTGTTGGGATATTTTTCATAATATCCTGTGATAGGGTGAAAATTCAGTAAAATAGTCATAACCGGAAAAGAAAGGTCCAACGGTACGAAGTCTTTTAGGATTTGTATCTACACTTTGAGCCCAGCCTCTGGGCATAATATGAAGACAAACGGGGCATATCACTTCGGAATGTTCCCTCGTTAGTATTAACATATTTACCAATAGCAACTTGTTTACCATCTATTGGCGTCAATTTTGATGACATGTCGTCATCAATAGCTTTGTCAATGCTGTCTATTGCAGACTTAGCTCGAAACATCTCGTCGACAAATGCATCATTAATACTGATGAGTGTGTGAAGCCAGGCCAAAATAGATACATCAAAATGAGTTGTATTGTGGCTCTTGCCTTTGATCGTATTTGACATGATGGCTAAGTATAACAGGTTAGCCACCACTTGAGTCGGTTGATAATTAGTCTGTCGACATAAGAGACCAATCAACGTGGCGGCTGACCCCGTTTGTTCAATCCACACAGTAGCTGCCTTGAATAGAGTTGTATCATAGCATAGACGATGATCGATTATAAATTTGACTTTGTCATACTGGATAAATGCTGGAATATCATGTGGATCGCTGACATCGACTAATACGAATCGATCATTGTCGGTAATATCGTGCAGTTGTGGTATATCAATAGAAAATTGTTTCATGATCCAACGAGCTTCGAGCTGTGGCTCGTTCCAAATCATCGATCGACACATTTTGTATTTAAAACCGTCAGAAAGGAGTTCACGTAGGCCAAGACAAGATGCAATACCGTCGAGATCGGGCCAATGATAAGGTGTGACAATTAAGGGTTCAAGACGATTGCCATTTGTCAACAAGTCAACAATGTGGCGACCAGCTAGCGGTATAGCCATCAGTTGACTGGCTTGTTCACCAGCTTGATTAGAAAACTGACGAAGAATTTGTGTTAACATTTCTCTTATCAAATCTAGAATTCTGGAGAAAATTTAGCATAAATCATATCCTAGTGCATACTCTTGAGTGCAAACACTGATTTAAGTAATGTAGAAACTATCAATCGTGTCTTCAAAGATCTCTCAAATCTTAAACCAGGCATTGGGCAGATCCTGTCAAGTTTTTATCAGAAGAAAATTATTTAAAGAAATACATTGATTTCTCTAAATCCGCGATCTAAGTACTGGAATCAAATCCATGCATTTCGATTTCCCTAAAAGTCTTATAGTATCGTAGTACAAGCATGAATCATTTGAGACATCTAATCGAAATCATTGCTCTTTTTATACACGTTGGCTGTACAAAACACAGCGATGATTGTCTACTACGCACGGTACTTGGTCCAAAATCATCAAGAGTTCAAGTACTTGTAGACTACATCAACTATTGTTAAAGCGAATTACCTCAGAATTACTTGGAAGTACTTGCCTAAGTAATATGCACAGCAGACGAAACTTTTGGCTTTTGATCCGTTACTTTCTCATTTTAGGTTCAACCTGCAATTTTGGTCCTAATAATGCTGACATGCGCCGAATTTTGTTTAGAATTTATTGGTATGTTCTTTTCTAAATACGAATACAACGTTTGTTTATAGGATCTAAATTACTACATGCCACAAAAATATCACCTTCTCAACACTTCACAGTAATGAAATATCATTTTTTCTGTTAGATAATTTAATAGACGCTTGCAAAACACACTATTTAAAGGAGAGTAACGTATTAACTTTTTAGACTCCAAATCCCTTTTTTTTAATACAAAGCTTTACTATTAAAAACTTCACGAACAAAAACAGGCTAATCATTCATTTTGACTTCATTTTGTGCTAAGAGAAACGTTTCAAGTTCATTATTCATTTGGAATAATAAGTCAACCATTACAAAGATGTACATTTTCCAGAATTTATAATTCTGCATCATTTTATACAAAAACAATTATTTTTGCAAAGCTAACTTTTGAGAAATTATCTTAGGAAAAGCCCAATTCCGCAAACCACGAATGTCTTTTTGATGTTTTGTACCTTTAGAAGGAGAAGCAGCTAAGTGCAACAAACCCAATATATCACCAGATGCAGCAGAAGTCCAGTATCTCCTCTACACGGGACTAAGTATGATTCCGAACCTTTTTTTGGCTAAACATCTTGGAAGAATTTCTGGTTTCCAAAAAACTCAGTGTGTACCTTAATTGACTAATATCTCGCTAATGTCTTTATATTAGACTGAAAATCTTATCAGTGCTCCCTCAGTACACCCAACATATTCTGAAATTTTCATGCTATTTCGTCCAAACGCCTGCGACGTCGCATTAAGAGAAGGGAGGAACTGTTTACCAGTAGTTGATTAAATTTTACAGTAGTTTTATGATCTTATGCCTCTTTGTGATTGATACTGATTCTTCCCTTCCCTACGACTTTAAAAAAAATTCCATCTGCTTTTACGTACGCAAAAACTTTTATCAAGCACTGTCTTCTTTGTTACAGGCACTTTTCTAGTTGTGCTTTAGTTAGGAAATCAGATAGCACTATTGCACTGTGTTCAATAAAATAGAGTGCACTAGTACACTCTACACTAAATTCCTATTCGGAAGACAGGTTAGCATTGCTCTCATTTTGTGGAGCTCGCATATATTTTTGAAGAAAGCAGTGAGTATAAGTTTTAAGGTCAAGTTTTGGGGGCTTTTCCCGCCCCCCCCCCCCCCCTTCTCCATTACAGACCTTAGCAATCGAGTATAATAGGTGTCAGATTTTCAAGAGTTTTTTTTTGTAAAATTGATCAAGTTATAATTTTGAAAAATAATGAACATCATTATTTGTGAGTTGATTAATATATGTGATAGTGCGTAAGATCTGCTGTAAATATCATGAATATGTAAAACAGACTTATTTGTCAATTAGTTCAATGATTACAATAATAAGAATGTTAAATAAAGAAACACAAATTTAAAAAAATGAAAAATAATGAGCGAATAGCAACAATGCAAACCAAAAATAGGGCGCTCGTAGAAAAGAATAAACAATTCTGTTCAAAATGCAGAAATTAGAGAGGTCATTATTTTGGACATCGATTACCGTGCAAAACAGCTATAGTCTACGAGAGATTTATCACTTTCCGTATTTTGTATTAGTTTAATGAAGCTAAAGAGAATATGTGAGTTCCACGTTTCAGCCCCAAAGGGTCTGCACTAACAAGCTTTTTTGTATAGCTCTAATCAAGAAATCGGAAGCCAAACATTTTTGAAAAAATCAACATGTAACTAACAAATGAAACAACAGTTACGTGAGATGTCAGACTGAATCATCACTTTCTTTCTTCTTGTTATCTTTCTCTTGTCTTCAAGGAAACGAAGTAAGCTACGCTAAGAAACCTGCATGCGAAAATGCGATTATTAAAGTGATCATCTCAAGGTTCCAGTTTTTCAAAAATTATTCTATGCATAATGAATAATAGTTTCACTCAAGAATGGGAATCCATCTTACTGCTTCTTCTACTCGCATATATATCGTTTTAGACTGTAGTTCATCACTTAAGATTTATCGAATAATGATCAACTGATGGATCAAGGAATATGTAAATGTGACTTCCCTCTTATATTGATGACTTACGTTATAACCGAAGAAAAAGAAGATATCCACTTTTCGACAAAATAAAAAATATTGACGTCGCCATAAAAGTAGAAAGCTCAATTGACTTATGACTCATTGAGAAACTAATCACTTCTCTCATTGGATACTCTCATCATCCATTTCTATGTGAACAAACTAGCTCTATTTAGACATTTTGCTTTACTACAGATTTACTAAATATTTAGGCATTTAACGATTTTTGAGCGTTTTCAGCAGAAATATATATATATATACATAGATGTCGCTAATATCCTCAAGTCATGAAAGCGTCGTTGTCACGGATCGAAATCATCTTATGTCTGTATTTGTCGCCTTGAATTCAAACAACTTGTTTTTTATTCAAACACAAAACACATATTTTCTGGCAAAAGGAATGTCCCCAGATGTCACGCGCCGTTTCGAATCGGATATATGTCGTTTTGTAGAGCTCAGTGAGTACAATATGTGATATGAAGGGCTTGTTCCCATGCTGAACATTAAAGAAGCTGCAAATTATCATATATTATAAAAGATATGATGAGCTTCTTCGTAGGAGCCTTATAATTTATGAGTATTATGATTTCAAGTCATTTAGATTTTTCGATTGAATAAACTCATAGTTGACTATACATATTCATATGTTGCCCTTAAACACAGAGTTAAAGCCAATGTTTACTTAGAATATTTCGAGCATTATCAATTCTGAAAATATAGAATAATATAATATTTCGTCTAAAATGTAAAATTATTTTGAACACTATTCGAAAGTTCTTTAGAACTACCCTTGAAAGCGGAATTCTTCGCCCCTCCTTGAAGATCCGAGTTTACAAAATAACTCTGCACCCGAAACGCGTTCAATATAATAGAATAGAATGGAATGACTATGACGAGAAAAGGAGCGTTTTTGTATACTAGAGCAATAGACCGAGTAAAAACGAGACTCATTCGAAGGTTCTGAGAAAAAAATGCATGTAAAACAAGAACAGATAAGAGATAATGACGTCATGTACAATAATAGGCAAGAAACAGAGAAAATATGTGTATAAAACTATAAAGTGACAGGTAAGATAATCTATGACCTCTCTGACCTTACAGATTATAACTGGTAGAATGTAATTTTTTTTCTGTGAAAGTCAGTTCATGTGAGCATATTTGATATCACATATCGGTGCATCACTGCGACTAATTACACATCAAGAATGGTGTTTTCAACTTCTTTTAGTTTTGGTTTTTTTCAAGATTATAGAAGAATGGACAAAAAGGTTTTTGTATTTTTACTTTGCTTGGTAGAATAAATGACGGAAGCTGAAGGATCACGCAATCGCAGCGAATACTAAAATAGGCATTGCATGTAACACGTTTTGTGAATATGTACGAAATAGATTTGGTTGCGGAAAAAATTCTCTAATCAGGTCATAAAATTCGCTCGTTCTTCTAAATTAAACGTGCTTCGAAGTGAAGAGTTGTCGTGCAAAGTTGGATCTTAAAAGAGTGAGGAGAAATTCCGCGATCAAGTCTATGTTTAAAGCATTCTCGAATAGTCTTCAAAATAGTTTTACATTTTAGACAAGATATTTGATCACTCTAGGCCTGCAGAATAGGTAATACTCAAAATATTCAAAGTCAACATTAACTGAAACTCTGTTTTTAAGTGCAATATATGAATATGTATTGTTAACTATCATTTATTCAATCAAAAATTCTAAATGAATTGAAATCATAAGTCTTGAATTCAAGGGTCATGCGAAGAGGCTTATAGTAATTTTTCAGCAGGCATAGTACTTTGCATTTTGTTCACAATCAGTATGGGAATAAATCCACTATATTATATGTTGTACTCGCTAAGCTCTGCAAAACAGCATCTATTCGATTTGAAACGACACGTGACACCTGGAAACCTTCTTTCGTGAGTGAAAAACAAACATTGAAAGTTCAAGAACTATTGATAACGTTATTGACTTGATTGACTTTTGCAATATATGTCATGGACCAGATAAGATAATTTTCGACAAGAATATCCACGTAATCAGTATTACAGTCCTGAAGCCATTGGTCATCGTACGTGTTTGATGAACTAATGAGGGAATAAAAATTGAGTTCAGTATCAATTGTGATATTCCATTTTAGATGATGTGTAACAGCTCGTGTCGAGCCACTAAACGGAAGCAAACTACAATATTCACCGAGAAGGTTTGATTTGATATGAAGGTAGTTAAAACCTGGCCGTAAAAGAAATGTAATATCTTTATCGCTGATAAGATACAGAGCGATTGTGTCTCGATGTAAATGTAGAGTATTAATTAGACCCATACTCTGGTCGAAACGACCACCGAGTGTCGAAAAAACATAAATAAAATCAAGCTTATTCGGTGAGAATCGCTCAATCATGAGTTTGACGCATTTAGTAAAGTCAGTTTCAGCCTGGTCAGATGTGAGAATAATGGGCACATTAAAACGACTATAATATGAGCGACTTTCATCAGTGATGGAATCCATATCGCCACTAATGAAATCAGGAATGTAGGGCATGTTCTTCTTGCATGAAAATTGCCATAGAACATTAGTACCACCATCGGCACATGCTCTAATTTTAGCCTTATTCCAAATTGAAGAGGTTAATAAGTTTGTCACACTTTCTTGCGAATAATTCAATATAATAATACCATATGACAAATTCGATTCTCTATGTGAATCGTTCGATTCCAGAGCTGCGAACGGAAAATGATGATGACAACAATTATGCATAGACATCTGAAACAAAATGAGCAAAATAAAACGAATATAACTTAAGTATTTTTTCACTTGCTGATCGATATATACATATAAATAGATACATATATACATGAAACATGAGGAGACTAATATGAATTTCTATACTCGGGCTTTTTTGCATACAGCTGTCCAAAGCTTGTCAGCAATCAAGTTGGATGACATAGTACCGTAGGATTTTATCAATTCATCTCGTAGTATAGTAAACATGTAACTGATAATAGCTTCACGGAAAGCTTCGTTCATCATTTTCTGATTTTCACTCTGAATTGTTTCTGAAAGCAACGTTGTCCACAAGTCAGATTGTTTGAACTTTGGTTGTATTTTTGACCATGACTGAGTATTATAAGTGAGACGAAATAATTGAGCCAGTTGTTTATGCTGTTTTACACACTGGACAACGAGAGATATTCGATGAGCATATTCTCGTCTTTGTGTTAGAGAAAGTTCTCCAATATTCGAACAAGCACAATCGTGTGCCCAGGCATTTACAGTTGAATGAAGGGCAACGATCGATTTCTCGTAGTCATTTCGAATTCTTTCATCGTCGATAACCAAATAGGTGAGACCAGCCTGTCTGTGATCTTCATCCATTATCTTACGAATTATATGCATTTGATTTATAGATGGTCTTTGCATATAGAATGCATTCAAACTACGCTCATTGAATGGATTCCAAGGTTCAACATTAGCCAATGCATCGAGTTGAAATACGGTGATTGACCATCGTTTTTGAGGCCACAAACGACCACCCAAAATATATGCTCGAAAGATGTTCATTGGCAATGAATTCATTCTATTACTGATGTCAGTGAACTAGATATACAATAAAAATGGAACAAAAGCAACACACTTTTATTTATCGAATTATTGTACTCAAACTCGCAAGTTTAGGAGAAAATAAATGTAGCCGAAACGATCTATTGAAAATAAATGAATGATTTTTATGGTTTATTATAAACATCATGTGTAAAATCAGTGTTGAATTGCAACTGACAACAACCTTATATTCACTTTGACTCAGTGAACCCCTTGGAAAAATCATTTTATTATGTTGGACAAAAACGCCTACTTCTCATCCTGTTTTTTAGTGGGAAAAAGATATTTGACTAATGACAAAAAAGTTTCATTGCACAACATATGTCATTTGTTAATAAATAACATTTTTCTGTCGCAAAAACAATGATCGCAAAATACACAATGACTCATGCTATTTTGCCCTTCATGACTCCTTCGATTTCTTTCCTTCATGACTCATAAACTTGTGTCAAGAATTATATCTCCGTTATTCTCTTTGTTCCGTACTTGCTAACCGATTTATCAAATTGAACATTACACAGATGTTTTCTAGGGAAAAATACGGAGCCGTCTGAATCATACGGAATCGTTTGTCTTAGAGCAATGCGATTATGAAGAGATTTTTCATAAGGTATCAGCACAGTTTGCGCTCACTGATACGGCAAGCGGTCAGTCACACATCACGGAAGCAGCTTTTTAAACATTATTGAACCTCCATTCTCCCCCTAAAATAAGCAATGATAATCCTGAGTCAATCCTTCTCCGCTTCTTCGCCCTTGATTACGTAATCATTAGAGCAAATGAGCTACAATGGATCAGACACTCACCAAACTCCAAGTTAAGAAACGAAAGAAACATTCAGTAAGAGAAGCATGAATTTGAGAACAAAAAGATCAATCCCAGTTTTGAAATCAGAACGCAACTCTTGAAACATTAGAAGGATCATGACTCGGAATAGCTCTCAAAGCTATTCATCTCGAAAAGAGAACAGCGCTTATTCGTTGAAATTGCCAACTTGATCATGGTTCCAATGGGCCTAGTTCGCATTATGTAAAAAGAACACTAGAACAGCTTGGGATCAGCGAAAGCAGTCTCAATTGAAAATACTGGAGCGGAATCCACCATTGCAATATAATCAGAATTGAAGCTGAGACCAAATCGTACAGTAAAGATCTTCAGTGCCTGTATTCTCTGAATGAATACTCTACATCAGGGTGAGCTAAGTCACATTGTTAAGCTGATCTAGCCGATGGTTTCTCACCCAGTCATCTATAGAAGACTTACTATTTGCTTCTGCATGAGTATATAATCTCTGTAGTACCCAAGCGGAAAACAGCGGACTTTTGGACTTGAAATTATTTTCAGCTCCTTGAACTACTTCAAGTAGTTTACTTTTACTTACTCGTCAACTTCATACTTAATTGAAGTTACTTGAAGTTATTTTAAGCTACTTTTTCTAATTTCTGGCTACTTGAAAGGAACTTTGAGCTACTTAAAGTAGTGTACTTTGATGTACTTTTCTACTTCAAGTCCGCTGCTTTCCCCTTGGTAGTACTTCTTCTCCTAGATTAATCAAGATTAACACTTCATCAACGCTTCTTCCCCATAAGTTGCTTATGTATTACTTGAGTGGTCCCACACAAAAAGTTTAAAATTATTAAGCATATATTTTTATCAAATGTGTTACACACCTTCTTAATGAATAAGCAGAAAAGATAATTAGGTACATATTGAAAACGTTGAAGGAAAAAATATGGAAAGAACGAATGGATGTGGGTGTGAGTGTTGATGTGCATAGAAAGAGAAACACCTACACCCACACGCACACGCACACCCTTAGCTAATCATAGGAATTCGAACGAATAATAGACAAAGAAAAGAAAATTAATTTTGTTTAATAACAACATCGTGAAGTTTTCGATATATGTTCCTTCAACATTTTTTCTTTCAATGTTTTCATAGTCATTCGATAATTAAATATTATTATTCTCATATTATTCAAGTTGCATAGAATGCATTTCTTCATCAGATGGATCTTTACTTATTTGTTTAATAGAAATCTGTATATTGTTGATCGACCATGATTGTTTCAAACTTGGAACCATTTACATGAATCTTCGAGAACACAAATGAGGTTTCTTCTCGAATCATGAAACTTGAGAAACATTCTACACAATATGCTTGCGACATGAGTTAAGCGAATTACTTATCAATGGAAGATTCTCTGTTTGAGGATGACATCATCTTTGATAATAGTATGAAGTAACCGGTCTTTTATTATTAAGATGGTAAGCTTGGAGAACTCTCGGGTGGGTGTGGGTGCTCTCGCATAAAGTAGAAGCAACTTGAAAAAGTGTTTTTATCGAAAGTCCTAGAATTGAAAGTTTCACAAAAACCCCTGCCAATCGTTGCAGACGCCGACAAATAACGAAACCGATCGGTTTCGTTCAGTTTCAGTGATTTCCTGGCCAGTTCTGGCTGTAACACGTCGGAATGCTAACAGAACCGGTTGGCTCCGATAGAGCAGCAATAACCTGGGAATCAGTGACACTTCTTTTTATGCGTGGTTGAGATTCCACGGAAATAAAGGAATAGCATTTGCATCAATGCTGTGAAATAATACAAAACGGAGACAATGCAATTACATGACTGACTCATGCCAGCTGTAGTCAGTTCTCTTATTTTTACTGCGACACGTGTTTTATATGTCATCGACTAGTAGTAGACCTTTTCTTTTTCCGCTCAGCTATAGTTGGAAGAAAAAATAAATAAAAAGAACAGCAGTCAAAGAGTACTTCACCGTGTTTGTTATTTTTTTGTCATCGTCGCCTACAGATATTTTTTCTCTTTTTCTTATTCTATATATTAAATGCATACAAAACTTTTTCCTTATATTACTTTTTGACATAATCTTCAAACTAATGGAACAATGGGATCGTTCTTCGCAATTGCTGATTTCCGCCCTGGTTGGTGCCAGTCGAACGCTTGGTGGTCTACCGTTTGAACATCCTCTCGATACAATTCGTACACGATGGCAAGCAAATCCAACATATTCCCACAATGCTCTTTTGGTGGCTCGAGAATTATATAAGTCGAAAGGTTTTTTAGGCTTCTATTCCGGTGCTATTCCAAACACGACACGACGTGCTATCAAACAAACATATCGTTGGCCAATGATGTTATTCTTTCCTAATTTTTATCGAAATTATGTTTTACCTGATCGTATTCAACAGCAATATCCTCGTTTGCCAAAAATTCTGACCGGTCTGTCTATAGCGAACTTCGAAATTCTTGTTATTAATCCTCTTGAGCGTCTGAAAGTATGGCTCATGACAAGTCCCACACGTATTAGTGTTCTTGAATTCTTTCGACGATGTGCAGATGGTCGAGATATTGCTCGGGAATTGTATCGAGGGATATCGGCCGCTTTTTACCGTCAAAATATTTCTTGGGTCACCTTTTTATACACCGACGAATTGACAAAGACAAAACTCCGTGAATATAGACAATCGGAAAACTTGACTCATTTCGATCTATTTGCAGCCGGAATGATTGTAGGCTTGGTTAATACTGGGGCAATGATGCCATTTGATTATGTTAAAACACAAAAACAAAAATTCTTTCAAAATAATCAGTCGATGATGGATATTTTCAAAAAAACATTGAAAACTGAGGGTATTGGCCGATTTTACGTGGGGTGGAAAGTTTATCTTGTTCAATATGCAATTGTGGCTATTTTGACGGTCAACGTGTTGGAAAAACTGGAACAAAGGTTTAAATCGTCAAGTGATCAAAACTCTTAATTTTTCTTTCATGATCCTTTATTTTCATGAATAAAAAACCAAGATCTTCACTATTTAAATATAATATTGTGCACGGTGTGGGTGTGATGACTAGAACATTAACACCCACACCCTATATCACAATAATCATTCGAATGTTGTTATATAATAAAAATGGATTAATAAGAAAAACTACTGAATAAGTTTTGAAAACAATATTAAATAGCTTTTGTGTTTTTTATTTACGATATAGTCTCAACAGTTTCATAGTTTTTCATGACAGGATCTTGTTGGATGGTCAAAGACGTATCACGTCAGTAGCGGACCCAGAAAATCTATGAGGAGATGGTTCTTACAATCCGTTTTTTTTTCATTTTTGTTGAGGAAAAATGGAAAAAGAATCACGAGATAGTGACGATTATCGAACCACTGGATCCGTCAGTGAGATATCTCTGTTGATAACTAGGACATTATGACACCAAAAACGTAACAAAAAAGTCTCCATACTCAAAATATATTTCAATTGGATTACTAATTGCAATCTCAGTCCGAAATCTTATCCATGTAGAACAGTAATAACCAGATGAAATAGCTAATGAATACCGATCTTTTGTAGTATTTCTATTATCGTATAATTCTAATTATACGAAAAGTGCCAGATTTGATTTTTAATCATTTCCTGAGATATATTAATCACAAATGAGAAAGTCACATCATATCGTGATCACTACTGTGTCGATAAAAAAACTCTTGATAAATTCATTTTCGAGAAGTAATTTTACTTATATAATTTCGAGTATTTGATGAAATAAAAACTTGAATATTGTGGTTTTATTTGTTGATCTACTGTAAACAAAATTATTCTAAACTTTTTCAAGATATTAAAATCTTTGACAAAATAAATTCGCTTATTCTCTAATCAAATGAATTATTGTTAATTTTAGAAGAAAAAATTTACTAACGTAAGTTATTCCCATTACACTTCTAGATCTATTCCTTTTTCATTTTTAAATAAAATAGCTATTTTGCAATTATTCTTAACTAATTATTATTCTTAATTCTATCTCGTCAATTTTATTATTATATCTATTTGGACATCAATTTTTCTTTTCATTATTTTTCGAAATTTTTATTTTATCTGTTGATTTTCAATCCTTTTGAATATAATTAAAACAATTAATATTAAATGATGGAAGTTCTAATTAAAAATCTCGATTAGTATTTGTTGATCGATGACATTGATTACATGTAATTCGTATTATTTTTAATGATGTTTTTCTTGTTGTTGGTTTTTTATTTAAAAAATTTGCTAAATGAAATTTTTCATGTAAATCAATTTCTCGTTCACTTATTAATGATTGTTTGCATACAATATATGCAATAGCTAATGGAATATTATCATTATGATTAGTAAATAATTTTGTTTTAGTTTTCGAATGATGATGATTATTATTATGTTCATATCAACGACGTTTATAATCACTTTTATTATTTAATGTTTGATGATAATATCAACAAATATTTGATGATGTTGCTTTAAAATGTGATAATTTATGTTCTAGATGTATATCAATTGTTGAAAATCGATCACATATTTTACATTTTAAATAATTTTCTGATGATGCTATATGAATACGAGGATGATGATGGTGATGATGATAGAGGTAATGATTGATGAGTATGTTTTTTATGTCGGGATGGGTGTGGATGTTGTGCTCTCTTTATCCACACCCACACCCTGTCACACGAACTCTCTAGGATACTTTTAATAGAGATGAATTAAGAGTCAAATTTTTCCTATGATATGTGACACAAAATAAATTATCTGTCTTTAAGTTTTCATTAACACTCAACGTCATTCTTCATTTTGATTTTTATAGATATTGTTTTAGAGCTGCCTTTATCTGGACAGAGAACTGATTGGAATACATTTGTCACGTTATCTCCCAGCTTTGATTTGTTTAAGGATGTTGGAACCATATCATGATACTTTGCAATTGTAATAAGTACAGCGATGTTGTAAAAATATGATCAACAAGAGCAAATCAAGCGAGACTTCACTCTTGAGTGTTGAACAAATCGACATTATTTTACTGAAAGTTAGCATGTAATTCAATAAATCAAAACAAACCAAAGAAAACAAAATTCAATGAAAAATAATATTTTCTCTCAAAGTTCGATTCTTGCAATGCTATGCTCAGGAACATGTGGGATTGTCACATGGCCATGAACGACGTAGTGTTTGCGAATTATAATGAGTGCATGTCCGATCAGTACTGCCAGCATCACCATGACCTGGATGACATGGACCATAGGCATCAATCACTGAAGTGAATATAGTCGGATCAATAGGACCTTCAACATAATCGTGAAAATCGAGGTAGCCCGTATCCAGATCTTCTCGAAAACGTACAGGAATACGCGAGTCCGCTACAGTGTACATATTGCGAAGATTTCGTATTGGGCCTACACCAGTAAAATTGGAAAACTAAAATTATAAATATAAACTTAGATAGAATGCATTCAATTGATAGAGAGGAACACGGTATAGAACAGATTTTCGTAATCAGTTCAATTCAAGCGGTTTCCATTTTTGCAGCTGAACTGGAAAGTAAATAGCAAGACAAAAGAACTTCATATAATTTGTTTATGTAAAATGAGAGTGAACTAACACTTTCGAAATTAATATGAAGAACTCTCAAGCTTTAACAACAAAATATTGTCGCCACATCTCATTGAAAGATGCATCAATTTTTTAATCTCGCATTTTGGCGTAGCTAATCCTTCAGTATTATTCCCCATTGATGTACATGAACCATTCAGTTATCGGTTCGTTCATGCCTTCTGCATCTTCGTTCTTTTTATTCCTAATTTTTAATCGCATACGTTTGTCAGATGCAAGCAAAGGCTCTGCTTAGTCAACTGACTAACTCAACTTGATTACTTCCCCATCCATTCAGATCAGTTTTGACTTTGTTTCATCCAGTCAACCTCAAATTATCTCTTCCTCTTCACTCACCCATTCCACCATCCAAAAATCGGTCATTTGACCATTAACAAGAACATTTCCATTGTACGTGGCGTTGCTTTGACATAACCATTCAGGATGCCATGCAGGAAATGTATAGTTGCAGCAAACACGTGCCGATGGATACACATAATAATTTTGTCCTTCGTAGAAGAGCACAGTGCATGGGACATAATTGGCATCGATACCAGCTGCATACAGTTGTAAAAATGGACATGTTGGATAAAAGTCAGTTCGAATCGCTCTATGCGATTCATCAAACCAAAAGTGTCCCCAGCCCGTATCACCGTTGGACATGTTGTAATAGGTCGTGGCTGCTGACCAAGCAGAGGCCATCACAGGTGGCGTTTTGGCTGGTGCAACACTAGATCGAACACGACGTCTGTTCGAGGAAGAAGCGACGCACATTGTCGTCTCATATCGTTCTTGTGTATCGGTGGCGGGAATTGTTACAGAAACGCATTTGAGACCATCACAACAGTGAAAATCAGTTGGAGCAAATAATGAATTATTACAGTTCAATCGAGTTTCATCCAAACAACGGGGATTCTCTGATGATGATGGACATAGTTGAATGGATTGGCTTTTTTGAACAGCAACGAAAAAGAGGATCAGGAGTGTGTCAATCGATCTCATCTTTCCAACTGATTCTACTAGAAAAAAGAAACTATATCAGTTTGATATTTCACAACAGTGAGAGCAAAGTGAATGCATTTTCTCTCTCATGATGTTGACTCGTTCTTTATCATACGCACACACCTAGAATGATAAAGTTATCACTGCTTCTACAGATCCTTACTCACTATGAAAATACCTTGGATAGAGGTATGGATGTGGGTGTGTTGATATGAGTATCACTTTTCTCTTAACTTACAGTCCCACGTCCACACCCAATATTAATGTAATTCAATATATTACAAGTTTTCAGTAGAAGTGTTATATTTCTTATCTGCATCATTATCGTAGTATATATCTCTTTGCGCTAGGTGAGATCAAGAGTAAACCTTGACCATTCTTATCTACTTTCGCATGCGAACAGTAATACTATCGTTTATTATCTCCTGTGTAAGGTCAAAGATGAATTTGTGATTCTTATATAGTGATTTGAAGCTACTACGAACACCCACCAGAACGCAGATATAAGCAAGCAATCATATTCGTTCCATATTTTATTCAACGCAATTCAAAACTTCAAAATCGATAAACCCAGCTCCGAAACTGGAAATAGATAAGTTTTAACTAGAATTAATTATACAGCGCAAAACTGTTATAAACGTCTCCGAATTTCAATGAAAACCACAAAAGAAATTGCATTGTTGAACAATTAGTTGGATAAATTCCTATACAATCAAACCTACATCCGTTTGCCTAGGCATAAAAGGCACATCGATCGATACAGAATTATCTGATCTATCGATTGATTCCCTAGTTCACTGTCCCAAAACGACCTATCGAGATGATATACCTCCAAAATTGGCAACAACCCACTCATATACTGCACAATAATTACCTAAACTGATTCCAAGACCTCGTCATTCGTTGGCCGTCACATCAAACATACATCAATCGACGCAGAAATATCACAGTACTCGATTAGACCGTTCCTTCTCATCCAGCAAATATTTCCACCACAACAAACTTAACAAAAAAATATTAATAATTAGTACTGTGGTGGTGGTGGTGTTCAATACATCGGATTCTGCTTGTCTCAGAAGCTTTCCAGGACGATGAGTGATACATTATTGGATTCAGCTTGATGAGGGCTATTGATTCCATCTCTTCGTCTCTTCCGGCAAACCTTCTGAGATACATACAATCCGATGTATTGAGTATCGTCAACACCACCGTACTAACTATTAATTTTTTTTATTAATTTTTTTTCTGCGAAATCGTTTGCCGAGATTTTGTCTGAACTAGTTGTCTGTGAAAATGCTGAGAAGTTGTGGAGAGCGGTGGGATGATGTTCTTCAAAATTGCTATTTCCGACTAGGTG